CCCCACTATTGAGGAGGTGGATTAGGAGTGCTTCCCCTGGTAGCTCATGTTTTGTTATGGAGACGGTTGGGTTCAAGACTTCTCATTGCCTTATAGCTGCCTTTCATCAGCTCTCTAGTATGCAAGTTGTTTTGAAGTGAACTGTGTTTCTTGGTGAAGTTATGAACTTGCTATTTTTTCAGAGTCTAAATGTAGAGGTGAATGTATACTGCCATCTTTTGTTCATTTTCTTTTTTGTAATATTCATGTCAACACAGGCTTTTTGTGTGTGTGTGTGACTGTTTACTTCAAAGTGAATAAAGTCAAATAATTTGAGTGATGTCTGCCTGATTTATTTTGAGGTCAGAATGGTCTGCCTAGGTTGTCTTTCTTACAGGGTCTAAAATGGGATGGCAATGTGCCTGTTAGATAAGGTTAGTGATCTGGAAATTAAGCACTGCATTGTGATCCACTTTTAGGCAAATAGTATCCTGGGGAGGCATAAAACTGCTTGTTTTGAATGGTTTGGGTTGGTGGGCCCCAAAATATCAAGGGTTAACTGGCATGGTTGCCTCAAGGCTGCTGAGGGGAGTGACCATGGGTAAAAATGGCCTAAAAATGAGCTTGGTAGTGGGGGTGTTCCTGGAGAAGCAGACAGAAAGGAGAGGCAGTTAGATGGTCATAGCTGCCTCTTCCTGTGAGTACCTGTGATATGTTAAAGCCTTGTTACTTAATCTGAATTCTGCATGAAAGAGGTGAGTCCTGAGTTGACAGTGAGGAGGTGTGAATTCGAGCCCTGGCTTGCCTGGTTACACACAAGTAGGGTTAGTCACCGTGGTCCCTAGTTTTCAATTTTTAAAACGAAGGGATTTGGCCTGATGCCTCAGCCTGTAGTTCTTACTTCTGAAAGAATGCTGAGAATTTCCAGCAGTGGTTACCTACCTACATTTTAAGGATCCCAATGAGTACCTTAGGGAGGTGTCGAGTGTTTTATGCCCCAACAGGAGAATCCCAGTATTTAATTGCTCTTGCCTACCAGGCACTGTACTGGGGCCTTGTAGGTGTTTATTAATCCTCATCCCATCCACCACACTGAGTTTAAGTAGTGTTTGACTTGCACAGATGAACATCTAGGAGACTTAAAAGATACTTGCTTAACTAAAATTATTTATTTCAAGGTTAGAAACAACAACCAGTTCAGCAAAGATGTTGGATCTGGATTCCAACTCAGATTGTATCAGTTTTTGTCATGCTGCCCCAAGTCCACACGGCTTTTGTTTGTATGTGTCTGGTTCTGAGTTGTTTCTACGCTAGGTTTTACAGTCAGTACTTCTTGCTTTTACTCTGTATAATCCTTGACAAATGTGTCAAGGGATGATGGCAGAGGATTAGTATTTGTTAAATTAGAAGAGAGAGAAAAAACCTGCAGCCCTGTAGCAGGAAGACTTGCCAAAGACTTCCTTCCCTTTGAGATGCTTCATGCCCTAGCTGCTAGCATGCTAGAAATAATCTACTCCGCAGCTTCTTTTTTGGCACAATTCTCAAGGCTTGGGGTGTGAGCCCCTATAAAAATCAGTTGTGTTGAGGGGTTACAAAGATGTTTTTGAACTAGATAGAGGTGATGGTTTTCACAACATGTGTATGAACTAGGAAGCACTAAACTGTACACTTTAAAATGGTTTATGTTATGTGAATTTACTTCAACAAAAACAGTAAAAAAAATTGTATCAACATTCTATAAAAGCACTTTGTATTTGTGTACCTCAAGGCCCACCAAACCTTTTACTAAACACTTGCCTTTGGAGAAAATCCAGTATTATGGGAATGGCACATACAGGTTGACCTTGTCCTGGAAGTTTAGAAATGGAAATCCAAGAGATGCTAGGCTTCCAGGCCAGCTTATAACGACATTTAACCCTCAAAGTAGCTCAACTGTTACACTGTGGGCTCCAGCCACAGGTAAATCAAACTTCATGGGGATGTGCACTTGCTGCAGGACCTCCTCTACCCCTTAGAGTTGCAGGAGCATTTGTGACTGTCATCTACATATAATACAGTAACTCTTGAAGCCAGCACCTACTCCATTTGGGGGGGGGGTGCGAAGGAGGGGGATGGCAGGGGATGGGGAGGGTAGGTAGAAGAGGGTGGAGACTGAAAAGGACAAACACCTTTGTTAAGAAAGGTT